TTTGGACTAGAATTGATTCCATTGATTTTCCTGGCTCTCAGTCTTTGGGTGTGGATGATGCCATGAACTTTCCTGGTCTGAACTCAGCCTCCAGAACTACATGAGCCAATTCCTTATATAATAAATATTATTATCTGTCTATTATTTATCTATCTTCATTTTTTTGTTCTGTCTCCCTGGTGAACACTGATGAGTACAATCTTCAAAGACAGTACTCACTGTTAATGTCTGGGTGTTGTCTCTAGTTCATGCTTAATTGCCCTCTGTCTTTACTTTGTTATATATCTGTCTGCTCCACTAGACTGTGAACTACTATGTTTCTGATGCCATGGAACTCCCCACCAGTTTAGTGAAGTTTAAGGTCCTGTTTCTCAGAGTCATGTGTTTATGTGCATATTAGATACTATATAAATTTACACAGAAATTCTATTATATTTCAATATAATTTTTAAAATACTAAAAATTGTGTTATAATAGTTACTTTATTTATATATCAAACAACAAAACCTCATGACAGATATAATTACCACAATTTTGAAAGAGTGATCATCATAATAATATTTTGCAATATTTGTTACAACACCAATATAGCAAGTCAATTTTTGTGACTTTTGTGGTGACAAAGTCACAGGTACAGTTAATACTATAGTGTATTCCCTACCTTCACAAGGGAAGGAGGTGCATAATTTCAGATAAAGATGATGAAATAAGGACTGACCCACCCCACCTCATTCAGATCCACAGAGTCTCTGATATTCTATGCTGGGACGCTTGATGGGTACAGTTTCTGGTTTTGTTTCTTATGGTAGTAAGCACTGAGCCCAGGCACGGTTTTACTGCTAAGATACATCTTCAACCCTTTTTATTTTATTTCCAGACAGGGTATAGCTAAATTATCTGGGCTTGCCTTGAATTTATGGTCCTTATGCTTCAGCCTCCTGAGTAGTTGGGACTGTAGTTGTGGCCATTGTGCCTGGCCCCTGTTTTCTTTGTATTATCCTGCTCTTCATCTCAAATCCAGCAGGATATCTGGTATAATACTTACAAAATTTATGAAGCAGTTCTACTGTGCTAGAATTGAGCTACTTGAAGTGATTTAGACTGTAATGAAAGGAGGAAGAATCAGAGGAAGAAAAGTTTGTAAAGACAGTAGAACATCATGCTATTTGATCAAGAGTCTTAAGCCTTGGCTTGTTGATTCACTTCTTTCTTTATCAGTATATAAGTTGATAGTGACTATCACAAATTAACTTATAAATCAAATGAATTAAAAATCCTCTACTGCTCATACATTAGATTTATTATATTTATATTTCCCTTGAAAATGACTTTGTTAAAAATAACTATAGCTTCAGTAATGCAAGTTTTCCAAGCTATCTAGATTCTCCAGAAGCTAATTCTGATTTCTCTATTTTCCCTCCGTCCTCATCCTCTCCTTTCAAACCCCTTTTGCCTTCTCATTCACAAAGCTCTGTTTTCATTTCATCTGTCTTTGCTGATTTTTTATTTTCCTTCCTTTCTTTCCCTTTCCTTCCTCCACAGTTCCTATTTTGTTGTTTGTTTGAACAGTTTCCTCCTATTTTGCAATATCTGTTGTACTTTTTTGTTCTTATTTACAATTTCATTTTTTCATACCAGAGAGATAATGTGATATTTACCCATGTGAGTCCCATTCACTTATGATTATGGTGTCAGGGTCCATCCATTTAGCTGTAAGTGTCTCAAAATTATCCTTCTTTATGGTTGAATAATACTGCATTATATAAGATGTACACTTGTGTGCAAGTGACCTATGGAATGCTCTTAAGGGAAATTTGTATAGGATCCGGGGTGGCAGAGGAGGAGCTAATCAAGGGTGTGATTGTTAGGTGACATACAGGTTCAGTATGATCCTATGAAGACTTCTGGAGCATAAATTGCATAGTAGAGTGTGTCCTCTCTTGAAGGAAGGGGTTTCTGTACCTATGAGCTCTTGGCTTTAGGCTTCTCGGTTTCAATTCAAGTTTACTTTGGGTGTATGGATTTCTAATCCTAGGGGAAATCATAGTCACTCAGAGGCAATTGTTGAATAAGGATAGAAGGTATAGTCCTTGGAAGTGAAGTATAAGAAAATTGGGAGAAGAGAACACGGCTGTAACAGAAAGCACCCCAGGGAATATAAATGCAGCATTGTTAAGCATAATGATGATAGGGGCCAGGGAGATGGCTCAGTAGAATAAGCACTTCCCTGGCAAGCACAAGGGCCTGAGTTCAATCCCCGGTTCCACAAAAAAAAAAAAAAAAAAGAATAATGAGAATAATGATGACAGTTTGTCATTAATTAAATGCCGACTTTTTTGCTAGCACTGTTCTAAGCTTTTTATAATAGCTCATTTAATTCTAAAAACAATCTTATGAAGTAGCTAATATTATTTCTATTTTGTCAAATGAGGAAACTAATTCATCTACAGAAACATCTTCTCTAAAGTGACCTAAGGAGCTAGACATGCCTGTACATGCCTGTAATCACAGCACTTTTCAGAGGGCAAGGCAGGAGAGTCACAATTTTGAGCCTAGCCTGAGAAATTTAGCAAGTTAGTAAGACCCTGTGTCAAATTAAAAAATAAAAAGCATTGGGAATATTACTCAATGAGAAGGCCTTTGCTTCAATCCCCAATACTGTAAGAAAAAAAAGTAAAATAAGGTGGGAGGGACCCAAATTTTTCATGGCACGACTGAAGTTTTAATTCTGGATTGGTGATTCAACAGCCTCTGTCCTAAACTTGAGGCTGCCCACTTTGCCATGACTTCTCCAGGCAGGAAACTGCTAAGATTGGCCAAAGCTAAGTCATCAAGCCTGAGCTTCAATCTTGGCAGCTCATAACAAAGTGAGATCACATCTAACACAATCGTTCAAGACAATTAATATTAGTCACAATGGTTCTGCTATTACCAAGAAAGATATAAATGCTAACAAATCAGTAATTTTAGTCTTGACATTCTATTGTATTTTATATGACTTGGCTGAATTCATTTATTTAGTGAATAAGGAGACAAAGGAAAATTAGAATTGTAAAAGGAGAGGGGAATATAATAGATTAGTTCTAAATGTTATTGATAATGACAAGTGAATATAACGAACAACGTTCTATTCATTAATTATGCTTCTATTTTTTCTGGGATCTGTGTAGAAAATTATTTCTTCCTAAATTAAATGATTTTTAAGTTCCCTGAAACTGTTCTCAGTAGGTAGTTAACATGTACTCCCCATAATCAGTATAACTTTGGCAGCACATTACAAAACTTAGTTACTTTTGTGACTGACCATTAATGCCGAAAGCATAATTTATGATTTATTTAAAATGATTAACTGCATTTTGTTGCCACTTGAATTTTAGTTATAGAAAAAGGCAATCATTTTGATGAAAATGATATTTCTTTATTCAAGATTGTCTGAATAACTTGGAATAGTAGAAAAGAAGTTTCTAGTCTTTTAACTAGGAAATAAATATCAATCAAAAATATTTCAGTATAGTTCCAATTTTCAGGATTCTAATTGCTTCAGGAACATTGAATATTTTGGGACATGTAAAGATAATATATGATGTGTTCTGCTCAAGTAAAATAATCATACTTGCCAGGGACTGGGGTATGGTTTAGTAGTATGGCATTTGATTGTCATGAACAAGGGCCTGAATCCCCCCTCAGCACCAAATAAATAAATAAACCAATAAATATGAGATTCAGATTGTAGTTTGGAGAGCCAGTCAAGATATAAATGCTCCAAACTTCAGTTGACTGTGACCAAGGAGGGCGCTCTCATTTTATGTGTTTATACATGTATGTTTTCTTTAGGGATGGGATGTATTAAACAAATACATTTATTAATTAATTAAGTACAGAATGTAAACATTTACAACATTGCAGCCACTCAGATTGTTGATGGAACAACTGAAAGCATATTATGCAACTGATAAGAATGGACACGGGTTGAAATATAGCTGAGGTTGTCCCTGGGGAACCTGTTAAATATCAGCCCTACCTAAAATAGATATTAAAAGATGAACTGTTCCATGATTGCTCAACTTTCCTCACATAGACTTCTTATTTCAAAAAATTCAAGTGACTTTGAAATACCATGGGAAATTTTCACCCTTCAGGTTACTTTCTTCTCCTATCAAATTTCTAGTAAGACTAACCTGAAAAAGGTATTCCAAACCAATAATAGCTAACATGTTTGACATGCAGGTACCAGACATTGTACATATATTATGTTTTGTAACATGATATCAATTTTATAAGGTAGGTATTGTTATTATTCCTGATTTACCTATGAGGAAACTAAGGCTTGGACAGTTTGAGGAATGTATTCCTTTTTTGTTACTGTAACAAATACCTGATATAATCAACTTAAAAAGAGGCATATTTTATTTTGGCTCAAGGTCTCAGAGTTTTCTGTCCATGGGTACTTGTGCATGTTGCTTTAGGCTTCTGGTGGCATCATGGGCTGACCATGTGGCAGAACAGACTTCTTACTTCATGGTAGAAAACAAACAAAAGGCAGAGACTAGGCTTCACAGTCCCCTAAGGGCACATCGCAGGAGTCCTAAAACCTCTCATTGATTCAAACTTTTAAAGAGCTCACCACCTCTTAACCACACTGAAGAATCAAGCCTTTCACACATGGATCTTTAGGAGAATTCACATCCGAAATATAGCAAGTATATTCCTCAAAGTTAAGTAACTAAAACACATCAGAGTTGGTATGCAAATTTCCTCTTAACAACTACAAAAGAAGATGAATATTCCTATCAACACTGTTATTTTCTCTGTTCCACCCTACTGCCTGGCTAAGAGGAGCAGTGCCAAAGATTTTTTCTAATATTTGGGCTACTTCTGCAAACCAGTACCTGAACATCATCTGTTTCTAGTGCAGTCACATTTACCCTATTTCTCATTTAAATGGATTTGTACAAACAGAAAGCAGTCTAGGAAGGCTCAGACAATAAAAAGGATGTTACCTTATTCTCTTTTCCTCTACTTTTTTCAGATATTCATCTCTCTTCAAGACTCCCAGGATCATTTCCTTTTCATGATCTAATAAAAATGAGAGATTGATGAACTCTGAGGTCTTAGACATCTTTCAGCAGCAGTTCTGAGCAGCAGTAATTGAATCTTCCAGAAAATGAAGTGATATGTACAATTGTTAAGGTTCCCTCTGACCAACTGACTCATTCAATTGTTCAGGTAAAGTGGATTTTAGAAGGCCTCTGCAGAAGTGCTGATGGTAGCTGGGTATTCTTTTAAGCTACACAGAAACCATGCTTTACTGAGACTACATTCCAAAAAAATCATTATTGTTTTTAACTGAAAAATATCTTCAAAAGTTTTGCTCTGATGTCCAGTCAAGAAGCAGGTGAGTTCCACTAGTGATGCTCAAATACAATCCTTCACAAAGCTACAGAACAGGAATCAGCTCCTGGGGCTGAATGTAGAAAACACTGAAAAGGCAAAGAAAACAAAAGAAAGGAAAATTAATCAGGTCATGTTTCCCATAGCACTCGTAAAACTAATTTTTGAAATATTGATGTATCTAACTCAAAAACATTTTAAAATCAATATGCATGCATTTATCAAATATTTATTTCATGTCTTTATAAATCATGAGCTCATATTAAGGCCATTCTAGGTTCTCTACAAATTCAGCTTTCTTCTTTATAATTAGCTTCTTATGCCAACCAGATGCAATCACCTCTTGCAGCTGAACTGGGTCATCACTTTGGGACAGTTAAGGGCACAGGTCAGGGCTCTGAAGCAGCCCCCTGCTTCTTCCTTTCTCTCCCCACAAGTAGGACCACAATATGAAAAGCACTGCTGGTGAAACTGTTACGTATCAACCTAAATATATGTCAGAAAAAATACTGAATGAAAGGATTAAATTGTGGAATCAAGAATATAACGTGCAACAAGATTGTATTTAATTAGGAAAATACCTTTGTAGTAAAAGTTTAGATATTTTCATGAACAATTCAAGATTATGTTTAACTCTTGGGGACAAAAAGACATGTAATCAGAGTTGTAAACATGAGGGCTTTATCTGAATTGAGTAATGTTTTACCCTGAAAAAGAGAGTTTATCTCAAATGATTTATATGGTTGGTTGAGAATTCCAGGCATGCATTATATACATTTGCCCCTCTCTTATGTATAGTTTCACTTTTCGCAGTTTCAGCTACTTGCAAAAACTATAGTCTGAAAGTATTAAATGGAAAATTCCAGAAACAAGTAATTGAGAAGTTTCAATTTGTGTGCTATTGTTAATAGTGCCATGAAATCCTGTGGCATTTCCCCTCTGTTCTGTTTAGGATATGACACTTCCCTTTGTTCAATGTATGTATATTATGTATACTACCTGTCTGTGAGTAATCCTCTTTTATCCCCATCACAGTGCTTTTGTTCAGGTAACCTTTATCTTACTTCAATTGGTCCCAGAGTGCAAATGCAGTGATACAAATGAGGCACTATCCAACGGAGCATAAAACATGGAAGGAGAGATTAACTCTGGTACTATGCAGCAACACTATGGAACATATAGGAGAAAATTATATGCATTTTGGTACTACCTGCAGTTTTAGGTACTCTGTAGGTATTGGGACAAGTCCTCCACAGATAAGCAGGCACTACCACACTGTGAAATAGATGTTCTAAAACTACCTCCTTGTGACAAAAGAACCTTTCCAGTGCCAAGTGCAATGTGCACATCTGTAATCCCAACTATGCAGGAGTCTGAGACAGGAAGATACAAAGTTACAAGAGAATGAGACAGTTAGCAAAATCTCCTCTCAAAATAAAATAAAAATGGTTGAGAGTATATCTCAGTGGTTGAGTATTTACCTAGCCAGCACGAGGATCTGGATTCAATCCTCAGTACCACTGGAAAAAGAGGAAAAGGAGGGGGGATGTGAGAGACAAAGGGGATGGGGGATGGAAATGATGAAGGGGAAAGGGAGAGGAGGGAGGAGGAAGGAGCTAAGAAAGGAAGAGGAGGAGGCCCTTCCTCTCATTCTTAACTTTTCAGCACATTTCCCTGGATTTCTACCTGACTGTGTATAGCACTTAAGAATGATGACTTTCAGGGTGACCTATTGAACTGTGTAACTCAGCATTATCCCAAGACACAGTCTCTATGCTTCCCCCAGGTTTGTGCACTACAATCTACATGCAAGTTACACTTGGCTTGCTTGGTTCTCACCGGATTTCCATATATAACTAGATACCTACTCAAAAGCTGTCCTGGAGCCTCCCCATAACTATAAGGTTAGGCTGACCTCTAAATCTAGATCTGAAAAGTTAAAGTCTTGTACCAATTATTTCTAACTTTTCAAAGTTTCTATGTGTCTGTGATGTATAGTGTGCACCCAACCAGAACTTTGTTGAAATGACTCAAACTGAATTGTTTCCCATGGACCAAAAAATATTCCCCTCTGAAGACAGTATGTCACTACTGATTGTTTGGATTTCTTATAAGCCTCCCTCCATCTCCCAAACCCTAAATGTAGCAAGGATCAGAAGGCCCTACATTTTAAAAGAAAAGGAAGGAAGAAGCTTAGTACAGAATGTAATGTTTGGGATTTACATTACTGTCAACTGTTGTTTCCTCAGATAAAGAGCACAACTGATTTTTCCATACCTTGTGTATCTCATATGCTTTTAGGCTGAAATGGATAATTGAAAACTCAATGACTAAGTTCACTATCTTCACAGTCCAGTGCACAGAAGAAATAATTTATGTTTGAAAGGTCGAATTTAGAATTTCTCATGTGAATACTCTACAAAATTGGATTTAGATATTATTCTAGTAGTAGCGAACTGTAAGCAATACTTGAACTAGGGCTGATGGTTATCTATGAACAGATGAAATGTGGGTTCAAACTAAACCAAACAGAGGCCTCTGTGGGCAGTGCCAGAATATTCATTACCCAAGGGAAATACTCTATTAGAATCCAGCTTATAAAGAAGCATCTGGAAGAAAATAAATTTTTTCCATAGAAAATTAGTTGTACAATTTGAGTGATTCATAATATGAATTCATAATATGAAAATTTGCCAGGTGACAGTTCCATCACCCAACCAGGGTAACACACATGTAATAACAATAAGCACTGATATTTGAGAAAAAAGATAGGGCATATCTGATATATTTGATTATTAGGTACTCCAAAGGGTGCGTTAAAATTAGAATGTTTATGGGTATGCCTGGAATGAAATTAACAAAAATAAAACTAATTTTCTGTTTCATATTACTTTGTGACAACACAGCAGTTACATAGACCTCAGCATACTTATGGAGATATTTAGAAAACAAGCCGAATAGCCTATGCATAAATCACTTGAGGATGTCTTCCAGATACATTAAGCAGTAATTCTGCAGGACAGCTGTAAGTAGAATGCCACACAAATTCACATGATTGTCAAAAAACGAAAATTGCCTCAGAGATGGAGATTCTGTGAGAAGAGGGGAAAAAATTCTCTTGCTATGAAAGAGTTGAGCAGATGCTGTGGAATTTTCAATAGAGCAATTTCTTCTCACCTGGGATATTCTCAGTGATATATTATATGAGAGTGCCACAGATGAGTTTTTTTTTAAAGTCTTGTTAGTATTGATTATCCGAACAAGGGCCATCGACTTTATATTGATTCTCCAAGAGTAGCATTTAGAGATGTTCTGCAGAATTTTTTAAAAAAGGTCTGTAGTCTAACATACTTGTGGACATGTAAATTTATATCTAGCTACTTATTTCTTCTACAGAGATCCTGTCTTAGTCTTTAATATCTTAATATTCATTGTAAATATTTGCAGAACTTTTAGTTCAAAAATATTATTGGTTCTTATTTTGGTATCATTTATTTAATATTGTTAAACAAGACCATTTCTATTCTTAAAGTTCTGGGTAGGAGAAAATTTAAATAAAAATTTGAAGAGACACAGATTTGAAAGAAAAATCAAATGGTTCATTTACCTTATACATAGTTATCAATACTAAAAATTTTGAAATTGACTAATGTTACAGAAATACCATGATATATTTAGAAAATAATTACTTAAAATACATGATATAAAAATTATCCATGTTGTTAGTCAAAAGCAAGAAGGTAAAAAAATGAATTTTTTTTAAAAAGCAAGAAAGTGTGTTTTTAAATGAATATATGTTTAATGCAATACTTATTAATATGTAATACATATGGGTACATAGGAAAAGGTAAAGAATGTGGGTACTAGTCTGTGAATCATGATTCTTAAAAAGATTGCAGTTAAACTGTCTGGAGTTTGAGAAGGAATGAAAAGAAGCTTATTTAATATTGTTCATTATTTTAGACATGTTCATATAACCATATAATATTTACATCTTTTAACATGTTAAGAGAAATAAAATGTATTGCCTATTTGATAAAATAAAAAAGGGAAATATGTCCCCAAAATTTGTTCTGAAAGAATACAGGTGACATTATCAGCAATAAGGATATCGTGCATTGGTATGGTTGAGGGTGGACAATAGTGGATTTGGGTTTCAGACTTGCTGTGAATTGTGTGACACCATCTTTGCATTTCAAAGTTTTCTGTCTCTATTCTTGCTTTTCCATATTAGATTCCTCCAAAGCAGAAATTTGACAATTGTCACTTGGGTACTAAGAACATTTCATGTATTTACGTTTGTCTGTTTGTTACTGAAGCTAAGAGATATGTCATTAAAATGGATTGGTCAAAAACCAAAGTAGAAATAAAGACCACAATAAAGAAAAAGGTGGTATTTATATACAATGGAGTACCACTCTGCCATAAAGAATATAATTTTGCTTCATTTGTAAGAAAATGGATGACCCTTAAGACCAGAAGTTTAAGTGAAATAAAACAGAAACATATATGGTTTCTCTCATATGAGAACCCCAAAGTATAAATGAATTAAAGAGAAAAATAAAAGATAATATGAAATGGGGAGATAAATTTTTTTGCAAAAAGGAAGGGAATTAAGTGATGGAGATATGGACAGAGGGGAGGGGCAGGTAAGGGAGTTTAGAAAAGAGTTAAGATGTGTCATATACATGTACCAACTCTCCACAACTAATGCAGTCATTCTGCACTACAAACATGTACCAATAAAAATAAAAGCCCCCAGCATATCTCCATTCTTTTTGATCCAAAAAATACCCACAGGTATCTGGTTTCTTAATCTTTCCATAAAGAATTATGTTTTATCAATTACTTTGAAAAGTTACATTAATAAAAATTTTAATAATGGTTAGATTCTTTTAATGTATAGTAATATGTTGGAAGATTCACAATATGAAGGTAAGTGAAGAAATCAAAATACAAAACTACTGAACTAAAGTGCTTGCTTAGGCAGAGCGCAGTGGCTGGGGTTTGATCCTCAGCCTGCCTTACGGGCCCCACTCCCGGGGTGTGCTGAGACAGGAATTGAGACTGGGCATGGTGGTGCATGCCT